GTGGTGTGGTGTGGTGTGGCGTGGTGTATGGTGTGGTGTGGTGTGTGGTGTGGTGTGGTGTGGTGTGGTGTAGTGTGGTGTGTGGTGTGTGGTGTGTAGTGTGGTGTGTGGTGTGTGGTGTGGCGTGTGTGGTGTGGCGTGGTGTGGTGTGTGGTGTGGTGTGTGGTGTGGTGTGTGGTGTGTGGTGTGTGGTGTGGTGTGGTGTGTGGTGTGGTGTGGTGTGGTGTGGTGTGGTGTGGTGTGGTGTGGTGTGTGGTGTGTGGTGTGTGGTGTGTGGTGTGTGGTGTGTGGTGTGTGGTGTGTGGTGTGTGGTGTGTGGTGTGTGGTGTGGTGTGGCGTGTGGTGTGGTGTGGTGTGTGGTGTGTGGTGTGTGGTGTGGTGTGTGGTGTGTGGTGTGTGGTGTGGTGTGTGGTGTGGTGTGTGGTGTGTGGTGTGGTGTGTGGTGTGTGGTGTGTGGTGTGTGGTGTGTGGTGTGTGGTGTGTGGTGTGGTGTGTGGTGTGGTGTGTGGTGTGTGGTGTGGTGTGGTGTGTGGTGTGTGGTGTGGTGTGGTGTGGTGTGGTGTGGCGTGGCGTGGCGTAGTGTGGTGTGGTGTGGTGTGGCTGCAAAGTTTCAAAGTGTCTGTCTTCCGGCACCTCCATGCTCAGTAATGGCACTGGGCCACTGACACTCTGTAATATGTATGCACATCTGCTTACACACTGCTGCATATTGCCATACGCCTTGTGCCCTGCTTATCCGTTTCTCTGGATCTGAATGTGCACCCCTTACGCACTATATAATTATACTATAATTAGGTCTCTCCTCCTCTCTTGCTCCCCAATCTCTCTCTCTCTCTCTCTCTCTCTCTCTCTCTCTCTCTCTCTCTCTCTCTCTCTCTCTCTCTCTCTCTCTCTCTCTCTCTCTCTCTCTCTCTCTCTCTCTCTCTCTCTCTCTCTCTCTCTCTCTCTCTCTCTCTCTCTCTCTCTCTCTCTCTCTCTCTCTCTCTCTCTCTCTCCCTCCACTCCCCTTATTCATGGCTCACACATGACGGGTTTACGTGGGTCTAATAAAAATAATAAAATAAAAAATAAAAATAAAAAACACCTACGAGACCATCTGAACCTGGCCTAAGCAAATGAACACAAAGTATGCACTAAAAAACCCATCATTATTAGATTATCAGATACGAGAGCTTTGAGAAAGCAGCTATTAGGAATACATGATATTGAAAGGACAACGTGGATGAGAGAAAAAAAATGAAGCAACGTGAAGATAGAAATCACACAGGTAGAGAGTAGAGTGCGTATCGGTTATAGTGTGGTCGTATTCAAGAATATACTGCTTACAAGAATGAACACTCATTTTTTCATAATCATAACACATATTTTATGTGTATATTTATTCTTACAAGCAGTATTATCGCATAGTAGAATATATCGGCCCTAAGAATGGATTTTGTGTAGCAAAATATGCCAGATTAGTGCAAGGTGTATCGCCTGTAGTAATAACATCTGTGCTCTGTGCATACTCAATACAATAATATTCAACACAAAAAGAGAGTTATGTCCAAGGGAGCATTGGAGTATCACTTTTTCTGTCCAGTCGGACTCTTTCTTCCGACTTCTCTCGTATCCGCTGCTCCGCAGTCGCCTAGCACGACCGCGAGTCTGATTGATCCGTGTGTCTGATTGATCCGTGTGTACGTGTATCATGTGTACGTGCCTGTTATGTTTGAATCCATAGTCTGTCTGTACATGATCTGTACGCCATACGCTGCTCTGTGTGTACTGCACATTTAGAAAAGCGATCCTGTCAGCTTTTCTATTATTGTGTTCACATGGCAAGAAAAACGACACCGCTATGCTACGTAAGTTTCTACGTAAGGTGCTCGGTATTTCACTTATGCTACGTAAGTCTCTACGTAAGGTGCTCGGTATAGATCTACCAACGGTTGGTAGCCGCGTGCTGTGCACGTGCACGGCAGACATTGTGTTGCAGTGCAGTCCGTGTTCGGATGTGCATGCGCGAGGAACTTCCTCCTTTGGAACTGCTTCTTGTATGAGCTGTTTCGGATATTTCGTCTCCTGGCCTGGCTTATTTCGTTTCGGCGATGCTGAGACCTCCTTTCGCGGAATATTATTACTCAATGACAGGTGAGTTGACCAGTTCCCTTTGATTCTTTTGCTTGTGTTGACTCTTTCATTTACGAAAAGTGTGCTCATTTTGGGCGGAATGCAATAAATAATGGAAAAGCTGGCAGGATCTCTTTTCTAAATTTAGCTTTTCCGCTGCCGAGGCCTCGGGCCTCGGAATACTCGATGACAGGTGATCTCTGAGTTGACCGGTTTCCTTCGATTCATTTGCTTATGCTCACCCTTTCATTTACGGAAACGTGTGCTGATTTTATTCGGATTTAGATCCATTTTTATCTCTTTGCCCTTGTCTACAGTGTGCGAAGAACGCGAGTTCACCTTCTTGACGGTAAGGCTTATGTTAGATGTGTTGTCGAAATACTCATATTCATTGTACATTGGTACGTTACAAGTAAGGCACTGGCCAGTGGCATACTATCGTTGGCAGTTCCCAATCTGGAGGGAAAAGTTCAAGGACCCATTGACCGAGTTTGCAAAATAAATTCGCATATCAGGGAAAATCTCCATTGTGGAGAGGTTCAGTAAACTTGTTTGCTTCATACGAAACAAGTCAAAGGGTACAGTCTCGTCTCGTGAAGATCTCGTACTTGTATGATTAGATTTGTTTACTCGAGTCTGGGCTGTTTGATTTATTATTTGTGAGTTCCGCCGAGATTGCACTGCCCCAAATGAAGTTTCGTGCCGCCAAGGCAAGAATTACGATCTGCAATCTGTTTGTAGTACCTGCAAGAATGTGCTTTACATGTATCGTACTTTCTCTGTTGCTGTTTCAGTTGCCGTCATGTTGCTAAAGAAACGTTCAGTAGAGAGGTTCTGCAAAACGAAAATTCGAACGAAGTTTCGCGACAGTCCTTGCGAAAGTGTGTACGAATTTTTGCACGAACTTTGCGTTCTGCACCTTTCGTAGTTAGCGTGGGCCAAGTGCATGTACGCCATGACCCGATCTCACGAAAGTGTGTACGACAGTTCATTTCGCGTTCCCTGCAAGTATCGCGTCCAAAGTTGCGAAAGTTCGTGCGAAGTTTCGCACTTCAGGACTTGGAAGGACTGTTTGTACGCATTTTCGTTTTGCAGAACTTCTCTAGTGACTCATTAATTTTGTTTCATACGAGACGAGTCAATGAGTTGGTGTGGCTTAGAATCTTTCGCTGTAGAAGAAATCTATTTGTATTCCACTGTTCGCTCTTGTACAGATTATCGCCCATTTGTTCGTTCATGCTTAACCTTTCTAGGGGCTCCCGTAAGAAGACCATAGGTCTGTGGGAAACACCCTTGTAAAATAAATAAAATAATAATAATAATAAATGTCTATTGGAGAAATAATTGTATTCACTGGTTATAAAATAGGTTAAGACAAACTAACAGAATAAATACCATCGGTCCCTTGGTGTTCGTCCTAAAGAGGTTCGACTGGATATCATTCATACTCACCAAAAAATGTGTACGATTCTATTATTATGGAGCGCCTTGTCTATCTCTCAGTACCTCCACCCATAGCCTTGCCCCTTTTATCCTCAGGATCAGTGTAGTTGTTGGAACGAGGTGTCGGACTCAGCAATGTATTTGTTTACATTTTAATACATGTTTATTGTTCCTCCTTTGCTGTGTTGTTTTAGAAAATCGTGGACTAACAGTTTGAAGTCATTGAACTACTTCCAAAAGTTGTATCGACATCAACAGGGTTACGATTTCAGTGCAATATGATGCAGGATGACCTTATCACGATAACCCATGATTATAAACCATTATAAACACAGAATCAACAAAAACATCTGCGACACGCACCTGGTTACATTTCTCAAATAAATCTGATCGAGGGTGGGGAAATCTGAAATATCTGAAAGGCAAGACAATTTTATGACAGAGTCATGAAATTCTGCTACAGCAACATGCACAGAATGACCTCCGTATAAAAAAAAAGTATCACCACGGTCCACCACTACTCACATGTATCCCCGCAGAAGAACATGCTAGTCCCATTTTCTGCAAGAAAAGGCTTGCACATCAATGCGTATAATACGGTATTGATATGATGTGAAGGCCATCATTTACATATTGATATAGGGCATTCCATTGATTGGTGACAGAAAAAACAAAAGAAATTATAGCAATAAAAACTGCTTTATGGCAGTTTTCTAAAAAAAGTTATTGTGTTCT